ATAGCCCACTGAAAAGCCTCGTCCACAAGGTGCTGAGGTACCAGGGAATCCCAACGATAAGCAAGATAAGTCAGCACAACATCGGTATGAGCAGGAACCGCGGGATTAACAATCTTGTCCATAGCTAGGTCCATGGTGACACAGCGATGAAACCGTGAACACATAGCGACACGATAAGCAGAACGGATTTGCTTAATCTGCAGAGTGCTCATCCCTGTAACTCCAGACCCATAGAGAACTACCGGCTGGAGACCAGAACGGACAAGACGTCCCACGCAAGCACCAGCCTTGCGTAGACGAGCCGTGCGACTTGCACGACGCATAACTTCTTTGATGCGTGCCTTGCGCACGTGGCGCAGTAGCCCACGCCGGGGCCGTAGCGTGAAGTCGACCCCCAAATTCCTGACATTCTGGGCCCGGGGCGCGGACCTGAGCGCAGGGACAGCCTGAATGACACCATCGGCCAACGTCGTGTCGGACGTCAGCAAGGCCATCTTGGGCACAGAAACTGGCAACTGAGCAGACACCGACAACACGTTCAGGAGTGACGAGGCGACAACTGGCGCTTGCTCAAGAAGAAACTTCGTAGTTCCAATAAGCAAGCACTGAATATCATCAGCTACCAAACCGTAGTAAGAATAGCGGAATTTCTCCGCCTGATGATCCATGTCACGGAGTAACGTTGCTCTCATCAGGAGGTCTGCGAATGCACACCCTGCAACTATTGTGCGTGTCGCCCGCACAACCTCTCCAGGAATGCCCTGAACAGAAATGAAGCGAGGGCCAAGATATAGCTCGACCAAAAAGCGTAAGAGAACAGGATTAAAGCCCAACTCTAGTGCCCGTGGAACCAACATATGGTGCATCACATTCTCGAAGGCCTTCTCTATGTCAAGTAGAAGTGCCATACACGACCAACCGCGAGCGTGTGCAAGCTCCGCCATGATAGACTGCTTCCAGACGCACGCCGTACAAGAGCGACCACGGACACCGTACAGATATGGTCGCGACGTGTCTTTTGCAAATCGGGCGCCCACAGTACGCCGATACCATCGTGTCAGAATCCGGATGTTCGTGGCGAAACATGCGACGGGGCGATCCCCGCCAACTTTCTTCGGCAACAAGGACAAGACGATGCTCGCCAGCTGTCGGGGGGGACGTCCCAGCAGAAGCATCAACCTCCACAGGGAAGTTAAGCCAATCAGAGCTGCATCGCTTAATTGGCCAATGTGCCGAGGGTGCAACCAATCGACGCCAATTGAAGTTCTCTTGCGATACTTCGACGAAATTTTTCGAAGCTGAGCGGGAGTAGGAAGAACCAATGCGTCGAGATCCTGCCGGGAAAAACGCGGAAAATGTGGACATGCAGAGGGCCGACCAACGCCCCAAATGGGATGCCAGAACCTCTGGCGACACAAAATGTGATGCATGGGTGTACCTGGAGGTTCCTCGGTCTCCTCAGGGTCGACCTGAAATTCCAACCAAGCGTCATCCCCACGAATGAAACGGAACGCAGCGGAAGAGCCTTTGGCGGCCTCTTCAGTTGCCCACTCGCACCAATGCTTATAGCGATCCTTGACTGCAGACTCCTCCAAAGCATGGGCCTTAAGATCAAGGTCGTGCCAGAGATCACGAATACCTTGCAACGGCATGTCAGGAAGAAAGCGCACAGACTCCACCCATGCTGGCCAATCATCGGGAGGTCGGCCTTCGCGTGAGGAAGGCTTGTACCGACGAATCTTGTTAGCACACGTGTAAGAATCACGAGGCATGCCTCTCTCACGAAGCTGGATGAGGCGCTCCAGACGCAGAGCCAAATGTCGCCATAGTCGGGCATGAAAACCAGCAGTAGGACGGGCATGACAACGGAGACGAGCGGGCACCATCACGAAAGATACGTCCTGTCCCCAGCGGGACTGGAGAGCAGGATCCATCTGATGAAGAGACAACAATTCGCTTGCAGCACGCTCTAACCATACAGACATGAGATGGTCCAAGTCTGCTGTCTCGTCGAATTCGATAAGAAAATCTTCATACCCAGGTGGCGGCAAATTGCAGCCCTGAGGAATATCAACTGGAATGCTGGGTGGCTTCCGGATTGTCCGCACCAGCCGCCGCTGAAAATTGGAGTGGACTGACAAAACCACGGGCTGGTGCTTAGATATGGCCGTGGTGTGAAACACCTCACAAGAAACGTCATGAGCAAGAACAGGATGAACGGCGAAGAAGTCAATCAGCGTTGACGTGTCGCCCGAAACGTACGTAGGCACAGTAGGGGCCACAATGACACAATCCACAAGCTCAGCCCAGCCTGTGCGACGTAGCTCGGCTGGCGGCATCTGCCAATCACCACCTATAATGTATGGAACCTTTATGGCCTTAAGGGCGGCAGCCAACTTGAACAAGAGGTCGCGATTGGCCTCTTTAGCCTCTGAGCTCCCACCAGAATGTAAATACACACTGTACAACATGATGCCCAAAGGTGCGACCCCAAACCAAGATGTAGCTATGCAGCGCTCTGGGGCAGGCACATCTTCCAAGGGAAAGGTGCACTGGCGCAGTGCGGTAGCCCACTTACACATGACACCAACGCCTGCTGACAAGCCTCCGGCCTCAGTAAGCACAGAAGGATGGAGAGCAGATCGGTAGCCAGCTTGATGTGCCTGGTGATGCGGATCATCCAGGGCACCAGGTGCACGACACAATTCCTGGATACACAAGGCGTCAAAACTCGTAGCACCGAGCAGGCCAGGGCAGCGAGTCCAGGTAGTAACATTCGCAGTGGCCACTCGCCAAGGTCGATGACGCTTAAGACGACGACTACGCTTAGACTCAGGAGGTGCCGAACTCAAAGTAGACGGTAAGTCCTGAGAGGAGCCTTCAGGGGCAAAAACTTGTACTGGTACAGGGGCCGGGGCATTGAGAACCCCAGGCTCGGGGCTACCCGTCCGACCCTCGCGGCTGCCCACCGCGCGAAGCGGCGGAGGCAACACGAGGAAGCTCCCGATGGGCCCGGGATTGGCCAGATTGGCCTTCGACGGGCCCGTGTTTGGCCCTCCAAGCGTCCCAGTCCATAGTGTCTGGATCGAACTCCTCGTCAGAGGGATCTTGCTGATCGATAGGAACATGATCAGACCAAGAATGGCCACGAGAACCCCCCGACAAGGGCCTGGGCGGGCGCGGGGCCGCTTTTGAATGGGCATGCCTGACACTGGATTGATATTCCCTGCCTCCTGCCGGCGATTCAGACAAGTGCTCCAGCGCCTGAACGACATGGGGCAAGTTGAGGATGTCCCGGGGAATGGCCGACTTGAGGCAATCCACGGCTTCCTGAGAGGAAGCAATATGGGCAGCAGCCTGTACATCTGGATCGAGCGCAGCGTCCTGTGCTTGCCAATCCTGCAGGGCCGTCTCCAAGCGCTGGCGGCGCGCGAGAAGATTCTCCTTCTTGTCCAGGAGGGAGTTAAGCTGCTCCTGCACGTCGCTCAGATGCCCATCAAGCTTCTCGAGCTTAGTGGTGTTCCAGCGGATGTGACTAGCCACTTGCGCCCGACGCTGAGCTGGGGTGAGCATGCCATACTTCTCCTGCTTGTCCCTGTCAATGACGTGACGTAAGTGCTCGAGCTCCTCGGAGACCGGCATCCTCGAGGATAGGTTCTGTAGCTGCTGAGCGTAGCGCATGCGTGCCTGCAACAGCATGTCCACATGATGCAGGTCTTGCCGATGCTTATCGCTGCCACCAATACTGACATCACCATCATCACCGTCACCAGCCACAGGCGCGTGACCACCGAGATCATCACCTCGTTGGCCGTCACGCTGCCGAACCGAATGCTCAGGGCCAGAATTGCCGGTGGTCTTCCGGCGCCCAGGAAAAGGCCGATCACAATATTTGCAGCAAGCCCGAGGATTGGACACGTAGATCCAACTGCCAGCACATCGCCTGCAGACAAGATAGCGTTCATCAGAAGAGCGCCCCATGGGAAGACTGCCAAACCGCGTCTCGATAGGAACCGTTGTTCCTATCGAGGTCGACTGACGACCAAATCACAACCTTGAGCCAAAATGGCTTGAGCCAAAATGGCTACGGACCCTCCCCGAGGGAGGGGCGGAAGAGGAAACACCCCAAGCCACTTACGCCCAGAGGGCTGGTGGGATTTCTAATGAGGGGACTGCTCAGTAGAATGTCTTATCATTCTAGCTTGCTTTTGCTTCGTTGGTTTGGGTGCGGCTTCCGTACCCGAACAGTCGAGGCACAGGCAGATTCGTTTGAACACCAAACTCGAATGGTATGTTTCGCATTTGTGCCCGGGTCGCCGGCCGTGCACCCGTGGCCGTTTTTTTTCCGGTTGTTTTGCGCCTAGATCAGACCCGGTATGGTGATAGCGCCATCTATATCCTGATCTTTTATTTCTGGTCTGATCCTGTTGATGCGTTTCATCATCATCATCATCATCATCATCATCATCATCATCATCATCATCATCATCATCATCATCATCATCATCATCATCATTTCGCACGTTTTTCGCTTACTCGCGAAGGTCATTGGCCCTAGGGTAACATTCCGAGACGACGGGCAGTCACCGTCGCAGCATCATGCGGCAGCTGAAATGGTTGAGGCCTCGCACGAGACCCCCCAGAGTGGGCCAGCGTACATGGCAGGGGAGAAAGGAGAGGAAGAGTATCAGGAGGGAGCATGATCAGAAGGAGGAGGAGGAGGAGGAGGAGGAGGAGGAGGGGGAAGGGCAATATCAACAGCAGAAGCGCAAGATCTGGGTAAGGAGACGAAGGCAGAGGATGAGCGGGTGTAGCAGGAGGAGCGAGAGGGGAGGGTGAAGGGTAGGATAAGGATGAGGGTGAGGAGGAGGAGGAGGAGGAGGAAACGGATGAGGAGGATGAGAGGAATGAGGAGTAGCGGGAAGGTGGGGGAAGAAAAGGAGGCGGAGGGCGAGACGCAGAAGGATGAGCTGCAAGGCGGGACAGGGCATGCCAGCCAGGAAAGCGGGTGTGAAGTACGTCTTGCCCCAGCGACACGATGAGTTCGATTGGCTCGCGTTCCCGCTGCCCCGTCCTTAGAGCGACCCAAGCATATAGATGTATCGCACAGCCTTTGCCACGTGAAGTTAACATACTCTCCAAATGCGGAAGGACCTTAAGGATGAGATTCGCGAAACCTCCTGCCGTTGGCCTCGTTCTTCCTCGCGTCGCCTATGCCGCCTCCCCTCTCCTGCCACATTGGGATGTGGTTCAACACAGTGGTCTAGCAGCGTCAGAAGACGTCTCCAGCAGCCTGAAGATGTGCCCTTCTTACTTCCTGATTCGAAAACATATGATTGCATGAATGGTCAACGGCGTTTTGTCGCGTCTGTTACACATCGATGGTACGCAGCAGCAGGGGCGCGCGTAGATGTTGCACACAGCCTTCGAGACAGTCCGAGGCTCTACCACGACCGCAAGGGCATCCTCCAGTATCTCGAGAGCAACGGCGTGCAGGATACAGCCTTCTTAATGGGTTCATCCCAGCTTCCTGCATGTCAGGCTTTTTCCCTTTGGCAATCATCGAAAAGAGGGGCAGCCACCAGGTTCAGCCGTGTCAGCTCCCCAGAGGGAAGTTCGAAAGTTTTAGATGTTGCGTGCCATTTGTGACATGAGTGATTGCAAAGTTTGTGGTCAGTCGGATTGCAGCTTGCACTCTCTTACTTCCACGTGTTTGGTTGGATGTTGTTGCTCGGACGAGTTTGTGATGAGGCTTGGATGGCGGCTGCTCCCAGGCTGGAGTCGGCAGGCCATCCAAGAGTACAACCATCGTTGGGCCGGCGAGACGAAATTTCTTCGGGGCACCAGCGACAAGTTCGCAGAGCGATGTACATCACATCAGAAGCCTGATGGACGAAAGGAAGCAAACGATCTTGGAAAGAGCGCGTTCTGTGGTCGCTTGGAGGGGAGGGGGGGATGGAACCGGACCCCCCCCCCCCCTGGATGGAGGGTGGGGGGAGGTTCGAACCCCCCCCACCTCCCCTTTTTCCTGTGACGGAGGGGGGTGGTTCGAACACTCTCCCCTCTACTTTTCCTCTCTCTCTCTCTCTCTCCTCGGGCCGGCGCCGGCGTCGGCGGCGGCTGGCGGCGGCGGCGGGGACGACGACTTCCTTTTCTGGGCCGGCGCCTGCGCCTGCGGCGGCGCGCGGCGGCGGCAGGGAGCGCCGACGAGGACGACGGCGATGACGATGACGACGACGACGCTCCGCCACCGTGCTTTGGTTTTGGGTCAGAACCTTAAGTCGGGCATGTCCTTCTACAGGATATATATGGACAAATACTCGGGGAAATCGTTTTGTGGCGATATCTTATGTGTTCAAAAAACACTTCTGCAATAGTCTGGAAAAAGTTGTTTGGATACTGGCTAGGCGAACGTACGATGCACGCGGTAGGAAAACACGATGCGCCGCGTGGCGTCGCCATTACGTGTTTCGCCGCACTTGGTGGCGGCAGCGCGCACTGCGTCTGTGGCGCGCGTGCACAATATGGGTCGACCGCGCGCTACCATCGTGAATTGGATGGCGCGGAACTGCGATTAGATTCGCGCGCAGCGTGATCAATTTGACGGTAACCCTTGGCAGCCGACAGTGGCCCCGCAGATTTGGATTTCTGTTTTTTTTTTTTCCCCCACCCTGTTACGCACATCTCCGCCCTATCAGTCTTTTTGGCCGCTGGCATTCAAGGCTTCGTTGCAAAAACTCCAGTCTTCCCTGCTGGTTACTCCGTCGCTCCTGCACGCCATCCTTGTGCATCCTCCCCACCGGACTCCCTCTCAGTAAGGGTGGCACGCATGAGTCGACGCTTCCTTCGTTCGGCCACTGGGTTTCTTTCGGCAACCGCGCGGGGTATCTTGCGCGAGGGATTATCCTGACCGGATAAGGTATCACCTTTTTGATGCCATCATCGAGCAGATCTGAGTGGAGTAAGAGTTGAGGTGGAGCGTGGTAGGTGTTGTTTGGAGGTTGTCCGTGATTCAGGTTGACTGCAATTGGGCGCAGGATAAGGTTAAAGCTGGTTCCGAGTAGGGCACAATTGGGGTCGGCGTAGACATGCCATCTAGAGAATCGCCAGTTTTATATAAAAGAGAAGAGGGGGCTTGCATGGGCCGTTGTAGTGGGGTAGAGTAGATAAGGGTACAAATCCGGCGATGGGACAAAATACGATTGGGGCTACATGTGCACAGGTGCATAAACTTACAAGCGCAGCAAACTTTATCCGCGCCCATCGGATCGGCATGGTTGTCGCGCGGATCGCGCGGAGCCAGGCGTAGGGCGCGTTCAACCAGGGCGGAACGAGACGCCTACTTGCACGCGCACGTGCGCGTCTATGCACATAAATTCATATGCGCAGATCGGTGGGCCCAGTGCGCGCGCAGTGGCGCGGGGCCGGGAGTCTGCGGCGCGCCGCAGTTGTCGCCGGCGCCGTCGGGGCGCCCAGAGCACAGTCAGGCACCGTCGCCAGCTCAGCAGTAGCATTCCGGATGCCCAGACCGAGCGTCCGACGTGCCCCGCGGGTTTACAAAATACTCCAGCGTTTGATGTTGCGCGCTTGCCAACCGCGCAAAATGCTCCGCTGGAGGATTCAAGCACAGTGCGCGCGCAGCGCACTCCCACAATACGCCCCGCAGGCTTCGAATACTTACAAATCCCCCCCGCAGATTTCCAACGTTTACACATAATCCAAAAATGCCCCCGTTGATTTCACGCGTTCAAAAAATATCCCCAAATCACCCAAAATGCACCCCCAAATTATCAAACAACTTTCCGGCGCCATTTGCGAAATACCAAAATTTTACAAAGATGTGCCAGTGCCATTTGCGAGGTTCTATTATTTTCCAAAGATGATCCAGTGCCATCTGCGAAATCTCAAATTCTTTACGCTTCGCGTATCCCCACCAGCCCATCTCACAACAGCAACTCATGCGAAGCATGCCGACAGTCGTGTTTTTACCTAACAGCGTAGACTGATAGGTTTCTAGTAGGATCAAAAGAGGGCAGCAGCTTACTCCACAGGGGGGTGTGGGCGGATGTCGGCGAGCTGCCGGGCGGACGCCGGGCGGACGAACCGGGCTCGTTTTTCGCCAACAATCACACACTTCGTGCTCTTCGACCTCCCAGAACTCCACTCCCGGGCCACATTTTGAATAACCGGACGCAACGGTCACACACTTCGTGCTCTTCGAGTTCCCTGAACACCACTCCCGGGCCACATTTTGAATGCCCGGAGCCAACTGTAAGCCACTTCGTGCTCTTCGGTTTCCCAGAACGCCACTCCCGGGCCACATTCTGATTGCCCAGAGCCAACTGTAGGCCACTTCGTGCTCTTCGATTTCCCAGAACACCACTCCCGGGCCACATTCTGAATGCCCGGAGCCAACTGTAGGCCACTTCGTGCTCTTCGACTGCCCCGAACGCCATCGCCGAATGCCACTCCTGCCGCTCTTGGCGCACATTTTGGATGCCCGGAGCCAACTGCACGCCACTTCCTGCTCTTCCACCTCCCAGAATTCCATTCCCGGGACGCATTGTGGAGAACACGCCATTGTAGTCGTAGTAGTATTCGTACGCCTCTTTTCCTCCTTCTACTCGCTCCTCCTTTTTCTTCTCTCATCGACGTCAGAACCCTTGCCTCCTATGACGTCCTCCGCTGGCCTGGGTGGTCTACTCAGGTCGCGGAGGGGGATAGGAGGGGGGTCGTTGCCATGGCTGGTTCCCTCGAATTGACGACGGGGAGGGGGGGGTGCACCGTTCCCTCGGATGGGCACATCCCCCCCTCCAAGGGTCTCCGAGCCCTCCCTCTCCGTCCTTTCCCTTCTCCCTTCTACTCGTAGAGTAGTAGTAGTAGTAGTAGTAGTAGTAGTAGTAGTAGTAGTAGTAGTAGTAGTAGTAGTCGTAGTCGTAGTAGTAGTCGTAGTAGTCGTAGTAGTAGTAGTAGTAGTAGTAGTAGTAGTAGTAGTAGTAGTAGTAGTAGTAGTGTAGTAGTAGTAGTAGTAGTAGTAGTAGTAGTAGTAGTAGTAGTAGTAGTAGTAGTAGTAGTAGTAGTAGTAGTAGTAGTAGTAGTAGTAGTAGTAGTAGTAGTAGTAGTAGTAGTAGTAGTAGTAGTAGTAGAAGTAGTAGTAGTAGTAGTAGCAGTAGTAGTAGTCACGCCTCTCCTCCTCCTTTTTCTTCTCTCATCGACCTCAGAACCCTTGCCTCCTATGACGTCCTCCGCTGGCCTGGGTGGTCTACTCAGGTCGCGGAGGGGGATAGGAGGGGGGTCGTTGCCATGGCTGGTTCCCTCGAATTGACGACGGGGAGGGGGGGGTGCACCGTTCCCTCGGATGGGCACATCCCCCCCTCCAAGGGTCTCCGAGCCCTCCCTCTCCGTCCTTTCCCTTCTCCCTTCTACTCGTAGAGTAGTAGTAGTAGTAGTAGTAGTAGTAGTAGTAGTAGTAGTAGTAGTAGTAGTAGTAGTAGTAGTAGTAGTATAGTAGTAGTAGTAGTAGTAGTAGTAGTAGTAGTAGTAGTAGTAGTAGTAGTAGTAGTAGTAGTAGTAGTAGTAGTAGTAGTAGTAGTAGTAGTAGTAGTAGTAGTAGTAGTAGTAGTAGTAGTAGTAGTAGTAGTAGTAGAGTAGTAGTAGTAGTAGTAGTAGTAGTAGTGTAGTAGTAGTGTAGTAGTTGTAGTAGTAGTAGTAGTGTAGTAGTAGTAGTAGTAGTTGTTGTTGTTGTTGTTGTTGTTGAATGTTATTACTTCTAAAGAATAATTATTGTTAGGCAAAACGGGGGAGTCCGGATCCGGTTGTTTTGTTGACGCCCGCTTTCCCTGTCAAAAAACACTATAAAATGGCATGTCTTGTTCTAACATAACCAAACTTCAAGAATCCTTTGTGCAAAAAATGACACGAAGTGCACACTCGCGCGCGCAAGATGAAATCCTAACGATTTTAACATAAAAACATGAAAAATCCAATGGTTTTTCAAAAAAAAGCTTCAAACATTCATCCCGCGCGCCTTTGCGGATTTCTTAGGAAACCCAATACTTTTTCAACATTTCTGTCTAACGGGCTCTTGCGAGCAACTTTTTCACGTGCTTCGAACTTCTGCAACAACGGTTGCGCGCATGCCAGGGCCATCATCCCTGTCAAATAGTACCATATGGGACACATTCGTTTTTTCTTCGCGCGCGCACGCCGAAATCTTCAAACACCATTGGGTTTCCTATTCTAGCGTCAGGAACATGTTACCACGAAAAACCAGTACAGGTGTCGAGTGTTGGAACAGGGGGAAAAGTCGTATACTAAGCTAGCTTACAGAAAATGTTACCACAACAAGTCACTGTACCCATGCGCCAGTGTAGTAGCCAAGGTCGTCCGCAGGCCACGAAGTGAAGTGTCCGAACGTCATAGGGCGGGAAGCTGGGTGTGGATGGTGGCGAAGAGTCGTTTGGAAATGTGGTAGAGCTTGAACCGGCCCCCCCACA